TAAATCCAACAATCTTGAACTTATTACCTATTATGATTGGAGATGTGCTAACTTTGGAAATAACATGATATTTTTAATTGTCAAGAAACTTTTTCCATATATAAGAATCTATATCTTCAGAACACTTTATGATAAAAAAGAAGAAAAGTAAAGAGAGTTACTTTCTGTTTTTTTTTTTATCTTAAGATAAAATAAAATAAAGAGAGAGCCGATTAAATAGAAAAGGGAGAACTACAATATATTATTAATTTATATATAACGTTGTATCTATACATGTAAGTAATTAATTAATCATAAACAAAACGTAAACGAAAGCCAAAAAACTCTTACACTCTGAACCCCAAATTAAAATTATATTTCCGAGTTGTATGAAATAAATTATATTCTTAGTAATGAATTGTTTTGTCTTTTCTTCACAAGGATAAATTGTTATAATGGATAATAAAAAAAATAGTTATCATAAAAAAAAAACAGAGTTCATAAATGTGTTCAGGTTCACGTGCTGCCGTAGAAATTTGTTGAAAAATTTTTTGTTGACAACCAACACGTTGTCGTTTTGCGCGAATTTCGCGTTTCACGCTCTTGTCGTCCACCTTATCATCTTGGCGGAGAAGACTTTCACACTTTTCAACTTTAGTTGTTAGTTGGATTCGTTTTATTGATCTAAGACTTGAAATATTTTTATTATTTTTTATTCAAAACAATTTGTTTGTTTTTAAATCTATTTTTTGTTTTTGTTTAATTATCCTAACATTTAATGTAGATTTTATTGTCAATGAAATCAAATAGCATAACAATTATTTATGTCCTTTTATGTTTAATTAGTAGAGTTTTTCTTCTCATTGAATTTATATCGTATTGTTTGATTAGTCATAGACCAGATAGTCAATTATTAATAAGATATTCAAACAAACTATCACCAAAATCAAATGATCGCGAAGTTTGGTTAATCAGTCAATTATTAAGGTAATTGATTCTAATGTTAAACAACTTTAGCTAAAGTGTGATTATAAAAAATGAGGTTGTTGATTAAAAGTTCACTCAAAAGTCTATAAATATAGGTTAGAGGTAAGGAGGTAAGTTTGCATTTACTATACCATTAATATCTATAGTGTCAAACATTGAGCTGAATTTGACATTGGCCTTTTATATGTACTTCCAAACAGTTTGGACGAATGACTACAAGATATTTGAAGTAGAAGATAACTTTTGAACCCCTTGGACGACTTTTTAGATGTTGGATGTTGACCTCAACCATACACCAGAAACATTTCTTAGCCCATTGTAGGGTCGAGTATTCAACAACCAACAGAAACTCAATGGTGACTACAAAGAACATGACAAACAATGTCATGACGAAGGAGAATAAGAATCATCCTAGTAAGTATCAACATATGAGAACCATGTAGCAGGAGATGAAGTAGATGTAGTGAAGGTATGAAAAGGAATTAACCGCCCTCAAGGCCGAAAACATAGTTATGCATCAAAAGGAGAGCGCTCGACACTCTATGCCTCGAGCCTCAGCATAACAACAATAACAACAAAAGTTTCAGTCTAGTTCATCCAAGTGAAGTACCTGACAAACATTAGAAAGGGGAAGGGTTGAATAATGTTAATGGAAAAACCTTTTCACAACTATCCTTATATAGTACTTTTGTCAAGTATAAGATTTCTCATTATTAAAGGCTCGTCTTTGTAAATGATTTTAATCAATGAATTATTTTCTTCGTGCTATATAGGATATTCATTTTAGTGTCTGTGAGAGCATGTTTTTTAATAAATAATCATTTAGTATAGAAAGCTCTTGTATTTGAAACTAAAATGCAATTGCAGGTTTTAATGAGAATAACATTGAGACAAAGATAAACAATAAATGCACAAATAACTTTATACTTATTCACTCAAACTGAGCTACGTCCAATCTCCTCTATCTATAAAGTGTTCCACTAGAATCTTCAACATGATTATAACTGAGTATTCTCACCACTCTTGGTATCCTTAGGCACTCCTAGTATCCCCGATATGATGTCTAGTTGAGTTTCACCCTCTTCTGGTTGTGCAATATTCTTCACCACTCCTGATATCCCCAATCAACGAATAACTTTCCGTTATCCTAGACTAGTTTCACACAACTCCTGGTATCCTTTGTTAGGGAATAACTTCCCGTTATCTTAGACTAGTTGAATATTTGCACCACTCTTGTACTAGACAATTTTAGTATCCTCTAATACGCTGTCTAGATTTCCTTAACTAGTAAGAGTTTTATAACAAGTGTTTTAATTCTCTTGAGAATTGTAATTAATAATTGCTTACAAGTTGTTTAGATTATTACTTTTTACAATAAAATATGTGTTCAATACAATACAGTTTATAGATTCACTGTTTGTTTCTTTCTTTTCTCTCTTTCAACAAAAGCAAAAACAAATATTATAATGAAGCTTAGAAAGTATTTTTTTCACAACAAATATATGACTACAACAACGATACAATGAGCACTTGCTAATGAGGCGTGGAGGAATAGAAGAAGAAGACTCGGAAGAAAGAGTGGAATGCATTAGACTTTCAACAATATCAAATAGAAGAGAGAGGAGAATCTTAACTGGTCAAAGATTCCTCAGTCAAAAGGATAAAAATGTCATTTAAAATAAAAGTTAGAGGTGAAAATGTCATTTACACATAGAGGTGCAAGAAGAAACGAGTGAGAGGTGCAGAGAGAAGAAATTTTCATTTACTTTAAGCTACTTATCGAACCACCTCGACCTTGCCCAATCTTCCAATTCTTTCCTAAATCTTCCCTTTTCTGTTCAGCAAGGAAACCAAATGATGAGTAGCACATCCTTTAAGGTTGCCGTGTTGGGAAGTGGAAGTAAGCACCGCATGCACTTGATCTGAAATCAACTCGTATTTATGTATTTATTTATTTACATTTAGTATTTTTGGTTTTTAGTGAACTAATTTTGAATAATAATTTTGATAATAAAAATGGAATATTGACAGTTTCAGGAGCCGTATGTGCTTCAACTCTTGCCAGAAATGGGGTTTCTGTTACTCTCTTTGAGTCAGCTAGAGGCCCTGGTGGACGCATGTCCCAAAGAAGGTATTTTTATTTATTTACTGAGTTCCCTCCATTTATTCTAATTGGGTTCTGTGGAATTGCTGTTCAAAAGCCATTGGAATAGCATTTTGATGGTACCCAGTGGATTCAGGGAGAATTTTTATATAAGTCGTTAGTGACATTACATAATTTTCTGTTATCTCCTAGAAAAAGTATTTATTTTTTAGGGGAGATAAAACAAACAGATTTGACGTTTTTTATTGGTACATGTATTTGTTTGCTCTGAATATGTGGAACTAGGAAAGGTTTGTCACGGCTCATGTTTTTCACCTTTTCAGATTGGTAGCATGTAGCTTGATCTCTCTGTGAAATTTTTCTCTATTTTCAGTCTTTTAGGCTGTATTATTTTAAGCAACTAATATGTTTTATGGACTTTTTATTTTATTTTATTTTCTGAGATAATTTGCTGACTGACATACCTTAGTCAAAGAAGGGACACTGACATTTAGTGATAGTTAGTTTACTTTAAGGTGTAGCACAGTTAATATTGTTTTTTCCTCACTAATGGAATTTCCTTCATCTGTTTGGTGATAATTTGAAAGAGGATCCTGAATTTTGTCAATTTGATGCAATCCAGGGAGAAAACTGAAGATGGGCAGGAGCTGCATTTTGACCATGGTGCTCCATTTTTCTCCGTTGGCAAGTCTGAAGTGTTACGACTGGTTGAAGAGTGGGTATCAAGGGGTCTTGTAGCTGAATGGAACGAAAAGTTTGGCTTCTTTGATTTTCACACCCATAAATTTAAAAACATAGAGCAGGTTGACAAGTATTATTCATATGCTCAAATGGTTTTATGCTGTATAAGTTGTGTATAGTGATTACAGAGTGTCATGCTTTTATGTTATTGGTCAGTGGTGCAAGTTAAGTTCATAAAATCTTACTATTTAAGACTTCCGAAAAAATAATTTTGAGCTCTGTTAAGTTAATAGGTGAACATTGAAAAGTTAGACTACAAATCTTCTAAGAAAGTTGAGGTGTAAATTTTAACTTTTTTAAGGACTTTAGTTCACGTTACATCTATGATTTCATTCTATATTTTGTTTTTTACGAGTGTTTGTTGAGAACTTTATCCAAATTGCATCTACTATTTCTTTGAAAAATAATTATGTTTGCTATGTAAATGCAGAAGTTGTCTTTCATGTTCTCATGACAAATGTAGACTTTTGACAGAGGTTTGGTGTTGATATATGAAAAAATATATATTAGCAGCGCCTTATAAATGTCAATACTACATGGTGAAAATACGAAGGTGTATATATCATAGCAGCACCTTAGAATTTAGATTTTGGAAAACTTATTTTCTGTAAAATTCATCACATTTTACTTCCATTCAAAATGTTATGTAGCAATCCAAATTCTGTAGACCACTTGGACAAAACCTTGTGTATCTGAGATTACTTTTTTCTTGAATAGTGGTTTCTGTGACTGGAATATTTATTAGGAAGGATTAAGCAAGAGATATGTAGGTGTTCCAGGCATGAATGCTATCTGCAAATCATTGGGAAGTGAGAATGGTATCAACTTTCTCTTCACTATCTAGTATTGTTGTTTAGAGTTGACCATGAAGATAGTAGAAAGTTTATTCATTAGTTTTGTCATGGTTAGGTGTGGAAAGCAAGTTTGGTGTGGGTATTGGAAGGATTGAATGGTTGCATGATGATAAAGAGTGGTCATTGACAGGAGTGAATGGGCAAAATCTTGGTCAGTTTAAGGGGCTTGTTGCATCAGACAAGAACATAGTTTCTCCCCGGATTACACAAGTAACAGGACGGCTGCCACTACTTGGTATGGGTGTGATGGTTTTCTTTTGCTGGCTCTCTTTATTTTTCCATGTTATTCCTCATTCATTTTATCTTTTTTGTGGAGACAATGTTGGACTCTGTAATAGGTCTTTATTTTAGAAAGTCATCTGTGTAGATAATGAAGAAACTTGGCCAAAACAAATAAAGTTCATCTGAGAAGATTATATCAGTCACCTTCAAAATGTTAAACACAGCTAGTACCAGCAGAATCATGTTTTGATGAGGAATTGTTCTAATGTTATGCTAGATAGCATGAATGCAAATGCATTTGATAAGTGTTTCTTTCATTTTGTCATTTTTGCAATACTCTGGAAAGCTAAGAAGGATCTCAACAATTTCTTGCTAGATTGCAATACTGATGCAGTGTTTCTTGTGACCTACTAAAAATTCCTTTAGTTAAACCAATATAAATGAAGTTTGATGATTTAATCCATGGTCAATTTCATAATCAATTAAATAAATAATTGATACATTCAAGGTGAATTTGAACTTGAAGATCTGGATAGTATGGATTATGTATTATTGACTATGTCTACACTCGTGCAAGCGATGCAGATACAAATTTAGTGCCAGAGTTGTCAGAAAAGCTGCTCAACCTTCCTGTTAAGCCATGTTTCATTGTTATGCTGGCATTTGCAGAGCCTCTATCAACAGTATGATATAGTCATACAACTCCCAATCTATTATTGAGTTCTATAACCTTACAAATATATTAATTGCATATGGCTCATCTGGTTTTGGCATGATGGTTCTTGATTTCCTTTTCAGTTTTTAGTGACTTGATGACGACTTCTTGTGAAAAAGTTATGTAGTTTGATATCTACTGTATAAAACAACTGAAAAATGACTTGAGCAAAGTTAATGTGTTAAATTTTTATAACCATAAGATTCAACATAAGGTATTGATACAAGCTAGTTGAATTGTGGCTTAGCTGAGTATTCTAATATTCTGTTCAGTACCATTTTTCTGACATATAATTGAGGATCTTAGTCTACAAAATTCATCTTATGATTCAGATTCCAGTCAAAGCATTTTCTTTTGAAAATTCTAAAGTTTTAAGTCGGGCTTATTGTGATAGCAGCAAGCCTAGCCGTTCTACTGCAAGGTATGTTGCATTTGTGTTATAACTATACTTTATATCTAAGTTCAATTGTTAATAAGGTGGTAACCGGTATATCTACAGTGAAAGATGGGTTCTTCATTCTACACCAGAATACGCTGAGGATGTAATTGCTCTAACTGGACTTAACAAGCCCTCAGACATTACACTCAACAAAGTGGCTGAACAGCTTTTGCAAGAATTTCAAAGTACAGGGCTTATCAAATCTCCACCATTTTTCAAGAAAGCTCATAGATGGTAAGTAACTAAGAATTAATGTATATAGAGCTCTGAGTTCGCTGCTATTTCTCATGCCATGGACATGTTACACTAAGGAGTTAGTGCCTTGAAAGAACTATCTTGAGTTATAGAGCATTACTATACGTTATCATTAGATGGTTATTCAGCTCCATTTGCACTTCTTATCCATTAATCTTTTTCACATTTCAGAAACTCGGTTGCCTTTACCTCTGGTTCATAATATATGAATTTTGTTTTGGAAAACCTTTTTCTTCTTAACAAAGTTTTAATCTATTTATTTTAGGTCCAAATAAACTCATGCTAGGCATCATAAAAAAATAAAAAAATAAATAAAAAAAAAGAGAAAGAAAAGAAAAAAGCATTGAAAAACCATACTAAACCCATGATAAAATTACATCGCACACGTATAAAAAAAAATCATGGATGGATAAAAGTAAACTACTCATCATTTCCTTCACAAAAATATTTCATGCTTTGAACGCCATACATTCCAAAAAAGCCTTTAAAAGTCGATTTTTAGAAATATTTGTTTTGGAAGATTTAGTATTAACTTTCTTTAACCTATCCCTACCAGGTTTTTTATAGTTTGAACTAACTCATCATTCGGTTTAACGTTAGAATATTTCTTATCATAAAGCATATTAGCACATTTAAAAGCTAATTTCTATTATTCTGCGAAACGAACTTTCTTAGCATCAAAGAATTAGGAATTGTCTCAAAACTATTAAGATGAATCTAGTTGTTGTAAACCCTGCATCCTATTTTAGATAACAGCTTTGCATGATGACAAGTATATAATAACTAGTGTTGAGTTAATGAAAGAATGCTAGCTTGTCAGAGACCACTGTACTGATCTATTTTTTATTGATATGATTTGAACACAGGTATCAAAAGAATTTACAACAACTCACATACACTTTAATGATGTTTGAAACAACGTCATTATATTTTAGTACTCCTATTTATCTGCTTTATCATTAGAAGCTGCAGAGAATTTCAATAATAACAATAATGCTGCATGCAACTATTTCCATTCTGTTTATGATGAGAAAGGTTTTGTTTTAATGTTGCAAAGTTGATTGCTTTAACAGGGGGAGTGCATTTCCAGCTGCTAGTATTGCCCCAGAAGAAAAATGTCTTTGGGATAGAAACAAGAGACTAGCCATCTGTGGAGACTTCTGTGTCAGTCCTAATGTTGAAGGCGCCATAGATAGTGGTTTGGCAGCTGCATTAAAGCTTACAGATAGTGTCAGCTCTTTATAGTTGGAGCTTTTGTTATCTTAAGTCCTTCTTTGGGATTGTGTTTCTGGGAAAATTCATGTTCAAAATTTGTTTTAAGACATCATTGTATTCTAAGCATAATAAGGTAAGGCATCTGTCATGTGCACTAACTAGATGATGGCTACATCAACTATATTTGTGAGTATGTTACATCTCTTTAGTTAAATAAAACACATTTAAGACAGCACTATGACAAGGCAAGAAATCAGATTACAAGCCATTTTTGGTAATGATTGTGTACTGAATGAATCAACTTACTAATAAGTAAATTTGGATACTAAGAAGTAAAATGGAATAATAAATTTTTTGAAGAAACAAATGGGGATTTAAACAGAAATTACTCTTCAAATTAATAGTGATTTGTTTGTTGGTGATCATCATGATTGTCATGGTAGATTAGAATAAGGACATGTTTCCACAAACTTTTTCATAAAACAAAATAAGAAAAGAAATAAAATAAATTCTTATAAAAGTTAAACTTAATTTATATATAAATTACAAAATAAGAATGTATAATAACTCTAATTTGGTTTTATGTTTCTTTTTTCTTTCATTGTAGTGGTTATGGATAATTTTTTCTAATAATGATTAGAGAGGAACTAAATTTGCTTTATAAAAAAAATTACATTTACTAGGTTAATATAGGTCATCCAGTAATATTTGCTTTATAAAGAAAAATCACTATTAAGCACATTAATTATTTATTTGATTTTCTTAACTAGTTGTCCAAGTATTTTATTTTTATGAGTTAAATCAAGAGGAGATAATAAACGAAGATGAAAATAAATTTTCGAAAACTTGTTTCACAAATAATTTGACTAATCCTCCATAATTTAATTTATACTAAATAAATGTGGTGTTAACGGAAGCTAAGGCAAAACAAATCCATTATAACTTTTTCGTTGTTCTTTTAGTGAATATGTGTTAAGTGCAATTCTACAGTAAATTTCACCTTAAAACACACACACACATGTCGTAAAATCTCTTCTTTTTTTCGACCAGAAAAAAAAATGTTTTTTTTTTCCTATGGGAATATCCATCTATTTTCTTTCATGAAGATTTTTGTTTGCATATTTATGATGATGAACAACAGGTGAAAAATTGATCTGATTTCAGATAATGTTCACATTATCATATCCCTGTGTCTACCACAAATGAAATGCCACGTGTGAGAAAACCAATCACAAATCCTTGGTCACTATTGTTGTTATTACTATGAGTGGCACATGTTTTGTTTCCCATAGCAAAGAAGAAGCATTTGCAGAAGCAGCAAAACTTAGTCTGAGCTGAAAAATGGCCTCTTCAGTGATGGCATCTGTGGCCCTTAAACCTGCCCCTTTCACTGTTGAGAAGTCCTCAGTCAGAGGACTTCCCTCCCTTTCAAGGAACTCCTCTTCATTCAGAGTTGTGGCCAGTGGTGGCAAGAAGATCAAGACTGACACGCCCTATGGTTTGATTTCATGCTTGCCCTTTTGAAAACTCTGAAAAACACACACACCCTTTTGTTAATCTTGATGATTTTTGTCTGAATGTTTGCAGGAATTAGTGGTGGCATGAACTTGAGGGATGGACTTGATGCATCTGGCAGGAAAGGAAAGGTTTGTGTTTTAATTAGCCATCTTTGCTTGGATCTTAGAACATAATTAACACATGCTGTTTTGACTATAAAGTATTCACAAAATAAGTAATCTCAGTTGTTTTCAAAAGAAAATTAACTGAAACTCAAGTTTCTGTATGATTTGTTATGTGTATGACTGATAAGAAAGTTAACTGATGTGTGTATCATGATTTGTTATGTATGCGTTTGATTTTGGTTATTGATTTTTTTAATCAGGGACTGAAATTGTTTACCTCTGTTTAAGATTTTGAAATTGTTACTTTATTTCATAACTTTAGAGTCTGAATTTCTCTGATAAAGGAATCTGAAGTTGATTCGTTGTTTTGAGATTGTTGGTAGTATTTACTGTATTATTCTTCTAACTTTCAAACATGAATTCAGGGAAAGGGTGTGTACCAATTTGTTGACAAATACGGTGCTAATGTTGATGGATACAGGTAATAATAATAAGATCTAGATCTATATTAATAAAAATTATTTTCATTTATTTGTGCATTTAAATTTCTATTCTAATTGCATTTGCCTGATTTATTATGCAGTCCTATCTATGACACAAAGGACTGGTCCCCAACCGGTGATGTCTACGCTGGAGGTAAGAAACATGAANTATGATTTGTTATGTGTATGACTGATAAGAAAGTTAACTGATGTGTGTATCATGATTTGTTATGTATGCGTTTGATTTTGGTTATTGATTTTTTTAATCAGGGACTGAAATTGTTTACCTCTGTTTAAGATTTTGAAATTGTTACTTTATTTCATAACTTTAGAGTCTGAATTTCTCTGATAAAGGAATCTGAAGTTGATTCGTTGTTTTGAGATTGTTGGTAGTATTTACTGTATTATTCTTCTAACTTTCAAACATGAATTCAGGGAAAGGGTGTGTACCAATTTGTTGACAAATACGGTGCTAATGTTGATGGATACAGGTAATAATAATAAGATCTAGATCTATATTAATAAAAATTATTTTCATTTATTTGTGCATTTAAATTTCTATTCTAATTGCATTTGCCTGATTTATTATGCAGTCCTATCTATGACACAAAGGACTGGTCCCCAACCGGTGATGTCTACGCTGGAGGTAAGAAACATGAATGACATTCAAGAAAAATTAGCATGAAAAAGAAGAAAAAAAAAAGTTCTAATCTACATATGAAATTATTTTCACTCATTATTCATTGGAATATATTCCTCTAAAGCAATATATATATTATAAATTATGAAAATGAGTACCCTTATTCTTAAGTTGTTGAATTTAGAGAATCCTTGTGCTTTCTTATTCATGTGTTTCCACATCACAGGAAGAGTAGTTTATCATTATAGTAAGTTTTTCATGTGATGAATAGATATTTTTGAGAATAAAAGTTGAAAGTGAAAGATGTTGTGTTGGTGTTTTTATGATGCAGGTACGACTGGTTTGGCTATCTGGGCTGTAACTCTACTTGGTCTGCTAGCTGGTGGTGTACTTCTTGTCTACAACACAAGTGCTTTGGCACAATAGACTTTGCAGATCCATGTTTATTTTACAACTTAGTTCATGTACCTATTTAAACTTCAAGAATACTTCATCAACTACTTTGTGGATATGTGATATTCCTTCTGTTCTATAAATGCTTGGATGTGAAAATCTTTTTTCTACTATAATCATGCATGCATCTTCGTTGGATGTGTTGTCTCTTCTCCTTGCAAATGGAACTTAATAAAAATTGAGACTTTTTTAAGAAGGGAGATTAAATAAGATATTTTCAGTAAATTTTAATTAATAATGAGACGTGTGACTCGATTTGTCACAGTACATTCTTTACAAAGGAAACCGATAAATGTATTTTTAACATTTATCTAACTGTTATGCTTCTATTTTCATAATAAAACAACTTGAACAATAGCTTAATTCTGATTATTTTTAGAAAATATTCTTTCAAACATAGACTATGTTTCTATTCTGACAAAATCTTCTGAGTGCATTCCTTTCAAGGATGCTAGTTGGGGGAAATCACGTTCACTTGACTTTGTTTTTCATGTTGAAAATGAAAGGGTCGTTCCATGGCGTAACAATGTTGCAACTCATTTTTACTCGAACACAGATGTTAATGCCTTTTGCAATCTCAGCCTTCGCATTGCTTTGAAATCGAGTGAAATGAACTCAAACTAAAGTGAACCCAAGAGTTCGATATGAAATTTATATGGCAATAATGAACTGAAACAGCCAAACAAAAACATGTATACAAGGTGCTGCAAAACATGCTGACAAAATTAGTTCTCCAAAACATGCTGACAAAATTAGTTCTCCAACATCTCTGCTGTTTCGTCTTTCTGTGACATAATTAGTGCAAAATCTTACAAGGGTGTTTCAATGATGCTGCAACTATGGAGCCGCCAGCTACGGTGTTTCAATAAGCAAGCTACACTGTCACTTCCTAATGTTACTTCATTTCCTACTACTGCAAATATCTCCTTTTCCTGCCACGATAGACAATTGTAAGCATGGAATTACAACTATCAACAAGTAAATACAACGACGATCTTCAGCAATGGTTATTGTCCCTCCATTTGTCGCCTCACGAAACTGTAAAAGATACAAATTTAGTTTGTTCAAAACCGCCAAGCACAAGTGTGTCAAATAAAAAGAATTCAGACAGACGTATCAAAAAACACAAATGGGAGGCAGAGAAGTTAATGTAACTTTTGTTGTATAAATGCAGAGTGATCCAATCCCAAAAAATAGTTCAAGGAAAAACAGTTGATCCCTTCAAAGACGAGGTTTGACATTTACATATTTATATTATACTCTTTCTGGACTCACACAAGAAAATAAAATCATATTCAGCTTTAATTTCGTAACTTAAAATGACTTTATCTTTAATCCTGAATATCATAATAATAAATGTAATTTTTAAGGTAATTTAGAAAAAAGAAATCTTTATTGTAAGAAAACAAAAGCATCAAATAAACTTAATTGCAATTCTTAACCTAAGTAAATAACTTAGCTTCATAAATAAGTACAGTGTTAGTACTCTTTAGTACATTTATCCAAGTATACTTTAAAAATTAATAACTAACAATTAATTTAGGATTCAACTTGATATTCCCATCACCGACAAACAAACCACTTTGAAAAGATATATCAGTGAAACTTTTTACTTCCACAATTTCAATATATAATCGATATTTCGTTATTAATTCAATATAATAGTGTCTGTAATTTTAACGTTACAAAACTCTGATGATCTGTAATACTATTTTACTTGGTTCTTTGTTATAATCAACTATAACTATGTGAAATATTAGCTAGCCTGGCATTTTATTATTGTCTCAAATAATTAAAAATTATACGAACCAAACCGACCTGTGGTCAAACACAAGGTCTAATTACGACAACGAGATAATGTTCTGTCAACCGAACAGATACCCCACGTTTTATTCAATAATGTAGGCTAACTACGAATGCAAATGTCTCAAATTTAGTGCAGGAGATTCTTTCGTAATCAAACAATCATTCGAGCATTATGTAT